TGTAGATGATGATTGTTGAAAATGCACTTTTACCATAAAATGCCAGCACGACCAGTTGGTTGAGGCTCATAAAAACAAGTAGTTTGTGTCCCATTTGATAAAAAAATGCAAACAAATACTTTTTCTATAGATTTTTTTCTTGGTCTGTCAATTAAAGGGTTAAGCCTATATGTTTAAGCAATTATGTCTGCCTTCCCCGTCTTGCACCATTAGGACCCACTGATATAAAATGCTTAACTGCCTAAGTTGCAACTATGCACTTTTTGGTGGGCTAAGCGCAAGCTTCACATATTTTTGGCTACATTTAAAGTGCCAAATGTAAGTTTAGATATTATGCAATGCAACGTTTTTCTTGGCCTACATCAGTGTTATAGAAGGAAAGACAACAGTGATAGTTATGTTTCAGAATAACATTTATTGGAAATTGTTGGAAAAATATCACTTTTCACCAGTTTGAGCTTCAACCTCAGGATCCATGTGTCTGTGATCCTCTCCAGAATGGAAGTAGTCATTACATACAGAGCATCAACTAGTTCCTGAACAGTGTACTTCACATGCTGATATCCAAGAGAGGGAGTTACATAGTCACAAGATGGAGGAATAGAAAGCAGTATTCAATGTTTACTTCAGATTAGCTGCACGTCAGAAATGAGCATGCTTGATGTCAAGCTATCCAGCAAGGTTATTTTCATTTATGTTGTTTTTTTTCTGCACAGTGTAGAGTCTTGTTGTGATGAGAGGAATGGAGGTATTTAATAAAAACCTTGCTCGCTGGAGAATAGCTAAAGAAGTCCTGTCACAAGTTAATCGGAGAGGATCTCGATCTCGATGCTGCATTCGGGCTGTGAGTAAACAACTTGTGTCTTACTTTTAGGCTGTCTGGAGGTATGGACAGCTATCAAAGCTACTAAACATCACATTAACAACGATGTACAAATGAAAGTCGGAGACAAATACATATTTGAAATGATTTATTCACGTTTGCCGGTACTCGTTTGCCAGTACTCCGGTACTTGCCGGAATTGGGCCGGTACTACCGGCCCAATTCCAGCACTGGCAACGGCAGTTTAAACTGTATTTCCTCCGCACACTGAGCTCTGATTGGTCAGCAGGCGTGGTGCTTTTCGCTGAGTTGATCTCTTATCCTGGAACCTATCCGGCTTCGGAGCACAGACTAGGTTCCAGGATAAGTCACCATGGAGATCTAGCCCGCTAAAAAGTGAACCAGCTTTGTAGTACCGGAAATCCCAGAAGTTATCTTGCTAAACGAAAATCCTGCTTCGTAGTTTACCCCCCTGGTTAGCCGCACAGCATAAGTTACCATGGAGATCGAGCCTGCTAAAAAGAGAACCAGCTTCGTAGGACCGGTAACCCCGAGTATTCCCTGAAGTTAGCCGGCTAAGCGAAAATCCTGCTTCGTAGTACACCCCCCTGGAACCAAACGAACGTTTATAAATGTTACTATAAGAAACCAGGGAACATTTCTGATTTTCAGTTTCCATGAGACGTTCCTGGTTAAAAAAGGTTCAATAAATAGTCAAAACAAACACTTTTCACATGGTTCCACATCAATTGATCTTTAAACATTATGACAAGAAGTAATGAGTGGGATATGTTACAGTAGGCAAATACAAATGTTATTTGTTAATGATTTGTTTTTATTAAATGATCAGCCATGCAATATCTGCACTAGTGGAAGATCAACTCTCATTAAACCATGGAGGATCAAAATGATGAGCTACATTCAGATAAATAACATGACCGATCAGAATCAGGGTTATTACCAGGTAGGTTCACACGTACCAGGAATTTGACTTGGTGTTGTGGTGCATAAAAACAAGAACTAGAAACATATGAAAAATAATGATATATAGTCAAATATAAAGGATACATTTCCTTTTGTTCTGCAGAGTCAGACTGTTTCTATATAAATAAAGCTGAGAGGCATACTGTCTACCTTTTGGAGAGGACAGTCCAGTGCCCCCCTGCAGACCCTCAGTCTGCCATGTCAGCACATCGCTGCTGATCAATCTGACCTTGTGTCTGAAAGAATAGGAACAAAGACTTTCCCTGCACCCCCTCCTCTAGATATCCCCCCTCACACACACACACACACACACACACACACACACACACACACACACACACACACACACACACACACACACACACACACACACACACACACACACACACACACACACACACACACACACACACACACACACACACACACACACACACACACACACACAGAGACCAGGGTGGGGTTTAACGCTTGGATCAGGTGGATGATAAATATCTAAGGAGCATTAGCATCTGGGACTAGGAGAGGAGCTTCAATTCCCCCGAGTCACACACACACACACACACACACACACACACACACACACACACACACACACACACACACACACACACACACACACACACACACACACACACACACACACACACACACACACACACACAGATCCCTGATGTCAGGGGTGATAAAACGATTGAGTGAGCATGCCTTGGTGGGTGTGTGTGATGTGATGGCCACCCAGCCCCCGCCTCTAGACAAGTTGGCATCCATTAATCTCCACAGCAACCGGGGAGGAGGATGAGAGTGCATGCTGGGATATCTGAGAGGCAGGGCAAAGAGAGATGTGTTTGGAACTGTACAGAGGAAGACGTTCAAGATTGGCTCTTGTTGAGAGAAACATAAATAAGAGGTGTGAGCCTGGAGGTGTGTGAAGAGTTTCCTGACCTGTTCTGGATCCTGGTCACATATGGCAGCTCCACAGAGCCGCACACAGTGAGACGGGTATGAGGAGCTTGCCAAGCAAGCAGTCGGCTGTGAAAAACAGCAAAGGTTTTCACACTGTGCTGTAGCTCTGATCTGAGCCGGTGCGTGTATGTGTGTGTGTGTGTGTGTGTGTGTGTGTGTGTGTTTTCCACTGATAGATGACTCAGTTTGTCTGTTCATCACAGTCAGCCGCTTTTTAATGTGAAACTAAATGACAAAATAAACTGTTGTTAAAGAGACAGTTCCCCCCATATCTATAAAACATGTTTTTCCTCCTGTATGTATTGATATTTATCCATTTAGATCTTAAGTAGAGGTGATTGTAACAGTACATGTTTAAACATAATGTTAAGGAGGCCCTGTTAGAGGCTCATTGTCAGGTTCATATTTGTATTTGTGTCCATGCTTTAATGTTCAAAAAGGTTCAACTTTAGGATGTTAGCCTTTGCAGAACATGTACAAAACCCCTTCAGAACACACTACAAGAGAAGGAAGACCCCAAAAAGCAGAATAGGACCCCTTTAATATTGGCAGAAATTCTCACCAATGTACTCATGGTAATCCTCACCCTTCTTTAAACTGATGTAAAAACGACTAAAATAAGACCCTTTTTGAAATGAATACAAATATGCCTTTGAAGGAGGTATTATTCTTCATTACATATATGGAGTTATTGATTAAAACTTAAAGTTAATTAATCATTTAAGAAATATTCCTGAACCCCTTTTATTTCTAATTGCTCTCCTCTTTTTTCCCTATTCCTCAACATATGCATTAGCATACCAGTTGCTATCCTGTTTATTCCTGCCTAGAAAGTGCTGGAAGCTCAATTTGGTGAGTGCTTCAGGCGTTAACTCTGGATTAACACGTCCAAGGTTTATATAAATAGCTGCCCCATGTCTGTGTCCATGAGCAGGAGAACCCCCCCGCTGGCTGGGACAACACCAGCAGCTTACCCCCCCCCCCACTAAGACCTGTTAGCTTACAGCCTCTGGACCTCTGTGTCTCTGTGCTGGTTGACTGAGACAGTCTAATGCCTGGAGTCCTGGGAGAGGCTCTGCTACATGCCTGAGGCACACGTGTGGAAAAATTGTTGAAATGATTTGTGACTTTTCATAACTTTTTAGATATAATATACTTACTGGAGAACCATGAATATCCCAATAAGTAGACGTAAATGTAAACATGAATGTATTAGGTCTGCAGAATTAATTCAAATGTAATTGCAGGAAGCTAAATATTTGATAAAGGCTAAATATTTGTTAAATACAATGTTTCATTAAGTATTTTGGATCTGCTGAGATGCCATATTCTGCAGACCTAACTAAATGCTTTTGTTGCAGAAATTATCTCTTTATCTTTTTAATATATTTTTCAGTGATAATGAGAATAATGATGAAAAAGTTATCAATCCCTTGTGTAAAACATATCTATTAACATATCATTCATAATAATCGCTATTAGTAATATTTCCAAATATTATGTATGCATTATTTTCTGGCAGCATCTGTTGGCTTTTTAATATTCCCTTCAATTCCATATAATCACACATTATCATTGTCATTTAGAATGTCTATTTTGTGATTTTATTATGTTGTTTACACAAAACCATTGCATGTCTGTCCGTCCTTCAGAGGGACCCCACCTCTACTGCTCTCTCTGAGTGTTCTTCCATTTCCCCCATCTTTGGAGAGTTTTTGGGCTGCTGTAAAGCCTGCTGAGAGAAATGTATGATTTGCATATATGGAAGAAATACTGAGATGCTTAACTTAAGTACAAGTATACATACTATGGTCTTAAAATACCCCATTACCAGTACAATTACTGAATTCATTGCATTTTCTATAGAATATTATTATTATGTTTTTATCACCAAAAAATAAATGTAATCTATCATTTTAAAATTGTAGTTTGCGAACATTAGTTACTGCTTAAAATACTTGGTTGATTAGTAGTACAGTACTGCATCATATCACACTATCATGTGTTTTTATATGTGAAAAGTAACAATACGTGTAAAATAAATGAGTCAGATTTGCGTCCAAAATGTTTTTGAGTTGAGGTTTATGTAATAATCAAGTAAATTACAAGAATGTCAAAGTAGCACTAAACTACTTTTTGACATTCACCATTTGTAACGTTTTGTGGTATTGGGCAACATGCATTAAATGTGATAGTTTGATGATGGTATGCTTGTGTTTTGTTGCAGATCACATCCCTGCAGACCTGCGGGACCCCTTCTACACGGACCAGTATGACCAGGAGCACATCAAGCCCCCCATCCTGCGGCTGCTGCTGTCGGGGGAGCTGTCCTGCCGGGTGTGTGCTCTGATCTTGCCGGGGGGGCAGGCGGCCGCGCTGCACACACACCTCTCCGTCCTGCAGGCGCTCAGCAGGAGGGGCGTCTACGTCCTGGAGGCAGGAAACAGTCCTGTCTCTGACCTGGACCTCAGCTCCTCCCCCATCAAGATGGTGGGTACTGAACAGATTATAGAAGAACATTAAAGCAACAATAAGGACATGGGGGGGGCCAAACTGTTTTCACTGAGGGCCACATACAGAATAACATACAAAGGGCTGGGCCCCTCATAGAGGGGAGGTATATTGCCTCATAAGTTAAGCTAAGTTATAAGTTAGCTAAATCAATCAAATAAGGGTAAATTGTTCTTGATAATTGAATATGCTCAAGGAAAAAAACAGCCTATATCACAGCACTCAGTTAACAGGGTTTCATTGTTTTTCATTTTGTTACAAAAAGTGTTGGCAGCTCCTCCCTTAAAACAGAAGCGTCAGATTGCTCCTCAGTCGGGATGCTGCCCCCCCCCCCTTCACAGACCTTTATAAAGTGAGGACAGTCAGGGGAAATGGGAAGGGTCTATTTCATTCTTGTTATGAAAATAAGTTATTGGGATTCTTTTATCAACTAAGATGTTTTTGTAATATGTTATATGTGGCTGAATTCATTGAAAAGTGGTCTTATTAACACATGAATACTGTGTTATTACTGTGGGGGTCACTGGGATATATATGTTTTAAATCCCCTGGAGCAGAGAGAGGAGCTGTGGATTATTGTTATTGATTAATGCATCAGTGTTTCTTAGGGTCAAAAACACTAAACTCACAACTTCAAATGAAAGCGTTTAGTTTATTTAATAAAAGAGCACATGTGAAAAGTGACAGTAGCTACAGATTAGTTGCAATTTGGTGCTATATATATAAAAAAAAAATAAAAAAAGTTTTTTTTTAAAAACACCTTGAATTTCAGGGGGGGCGTGGGGCTCCGTTAGCGGGGCGCAGCGCCCCTCCAAGATAACGTTAGGGGAAACACTGTATTCTGTTCTCTATTTACATTCTTCCTCTCGGCAAAATCATGCAAAAATATAAAATTTCCTTCCACTGTTATGCGGATGACACACAGCTCTATCTCCCCCTGAAAACAAACGGTCACTCCGATATTAAGAACCTCATGAACTGCCTTGAGGAAATTAAGGGTTGGATGGCACAAAACTACTTGCAGCTACATTAAATGAAAGCAAGTCAGAAGTTGTCCTTTTCAGCCCCCCTGAATCCCTCAAAGCATTTACTAACAGTCTTGGCAACCTAGTGTCCGCCCTTGTCAAACCCCATGTCAAAAACCTTGGTGTTATATTTGACTCTGCCTTTAAGTTTGACAAACAGGTCAATGCAGTAGTTAAAGCCAGTTTTTTCCAGCTTCGAACCATCGCCAAAATCAAGCCATTTCTGTCTTCTAAAGATCTAGAGAAAGTCATCCATGCCTTTATTTCATCCCGCTTAGACTACTGCAACTCCCTGTATACTGGGACCTGTCAGTCATCTCTGTCCCGCCTGCGACTGGTCCAGAATGCCGCAGCCAGGCTCCTCACAGGGAGCCGGAAGAGGGTCCATATTACCCCCATTCTGGCCTCTCTCCACTGGCTGCCAGTACGGCTCCGAATTGACTTTAAACGTCTCTTATTTGTGTATAATGCCCTGAATGGGCAGGGCCCCTCCTGTGTTGCAGACCTTCTTATCCCATATTCTAGCTCCAGGCCCCTCAGGTCGGCTAACCTGGGGCTCCTGGTTGTCCCACGCTCCAAGCGTAAACTCAGGGCCGACCGAGTATTTTCTATTGCAGCCCCAAGACTGTGGAACAGCATCCCCCTCCCTATCAGACCGGCCCCCTCCATTGACTGTTTTAAATCCAGGTTAAAAACACACTTTGACTCTCTAGCATTTGACTCCTCCATATATGGCTGGTTGTGCCTGGGCCTATGTTTGTTGTGCATATGACCTTTCTGTATGTATGTTTATGTCGTTGTTCCTTTTTAGTTTGTACTTACTTATCTATTTATCTAAAGGTCGTGTCTGCTACCTGCTCTGTTCTGTACAGCACTTTGGTCAATGTGGGTTGTTTTTAAATGTGCTTTATAAATACATGTGATTGATTGGGCCACATTTGGCCCCTGGGCCGCAATTTGGAGACCCCTGAAGAAGGAGCTTTCATTTTGTTGTTTTCCCTGTCACTTTGTGTTGTGAGGTTTTGATTTTGCTAAGACCTGCATTTGTTTTGGAAGCGAGTAAAAGAGTGATCCCTCAGTGACTTCTGCTCTCTGTATGCTGTTTGTTGGTTATCATGCTCAAAATCACACAAAATCACACAAAGCTTTTGCTTGATAAACGTAGCCAATATTAGCATTCATTCGACTAAGGTTAGCAATTTATTAAGCTAGCTTTACTTTAACCACCACCATTAATATAAATTAATATATTGACTAAAAAACCACATCTCACAGTTTGTTTTATAAGTAAAACTAAATGAAAATGTAATTACATAACAGTCTGGAGGCAGAAGGCCTATTCAGGATTTGTTTTGTAGTTTCCTGTGAAAATATAAAAAAATGCTCTCGTGGTCTGCATGCTGTAATGCATACCTTTTTGAACATAGTTAAAATAGTAAGCTAATTCCTTCAAGAGTAAGAGTAGGCTGGAACAAAACAAAAAAAGAGTACACATTGGCATTTATTAGGTGATCAGATACACAACTCCTGACGTACTGTGTGCCTAAACATTTACCAATAACTTGAAATGATAGTATGTGGATGTTGAGTTACTACGGACCCCCTAGGGGACATGGAGAAGAAAAAAAAAATGATATGAACAAAAAAAAAAATGTTTGCGAGATATCGCAATACTTTTGCGAGATCTCGCAAAACCCCGTTGCAGTTTGTAGACGGTCCCTAAGCACTCCTCTCCCTCCTCCAGCTGCAGATTGTGACCAATTCTTGATGTTTAGCTCGGATGACGGCGCGTATCGAACTGTTCTGATAAAACGACTCTTTAGCTCGTTGTCTACCTTGCTATTATTGTAAAGTTGTGTTTGTATTTTTACAACGTTATTTTCACGAGTTATTGATCCGCGAAATTCAAATCTGTCAATAACTCAGCTCAGAGGGACGTGCATGTCCCGCGCTCTGAGTGTTCTCTTGAGGTGTCTTCACTTATGTGAAACCCGTGCCTATTGCCAAGCACTGATGTTATATCTTTATATTTAAGGCCAAGCTCAAAGTAAAATCGATGAACCACTCCATTGTTGTGGTTTCTGTGTTGCCGTAGCAGCCGAACTGACCAGGAAGTACATTGAGCTAAATGAAAAGTATTGCAAGATCTCGCAAAACCTTTTTTTTTTTCTTTTTTTTTTTTCTTCTCCATGTCCCGTAAATTACAGCCTGCTCCACTCCTCCTCGATTCATAATGCTTAAAGAATCATTAGATAGTTCAAAATCAGATTTTTTTTCCTGTAATGTAAATGAGGGCGCATCCTTTCTGTCTGGCAACAAGCTACAGTGACTTTGCTTTCCAGAGCTGAGTGTTGAAATTAATAATTCACCAGTAGAGGTTTTGCAGGTTTTAGGGTGTGAAAATAAAATATTCATGAATCAAAATGAACCAACATTTTTCATGTAATATGAAACCACTGTTGGAAATACGTACTGCAGGCTAGTGAGAGTCATCTTTGCTCTTTAATCATCACATTTAATAATCACACACACACACACACACACACACACACACACACACACACACACACACACACACACACACACACACACACACACACACACACACACACACACACACACACACACACACACACACACACACACACACACACACACACACACACACACACACACACACACACACACACTTTCCTTTTGTTCAGCTTTAGCTCACCCTGTTGTTTTGTATGACACACAGTGTATGAGTGTATATAACACACACAGCAGAGATTGTCTCAGGTGTAGGCTGACGAGGATTTTGCCTTTAGAAATCTGCCCGTTTCAGACAGGAAGTTCTGCCTGTTTCCATGGCAACTCAGCAATGGAGCATATTTTACCTCATGATACTGTAAAATCAGTTTTGTCTTCAATAGAAAAACACACACTGTATGTACACTGAACAAAAATATAAACGCAACACTTTTGTTTTTGCTCCCATTTTTCATGAGATGAACTCAAAGATCTAAAACATTTTCTATATACACAAAATAACCATTTCTCTCAAATATTGTTCAGAAATCTGAAAAAATCTGTGATAGTGAGCACTTCTCCTTTGCCGAGATAATCCATCCCACCTCACAGGTGTGGCATATCAAGATGCTGATTAGACAGCATGATTATTGCACAGGTGTGCCTTAGGCTGGCCACAATAAAAGGCCACTCTGAAATGTTCAGTTTTACTTTATTGGGGGGGTCTGGGGGGGTCCGAAAACCAGGCAGTATCTGGTGTGAGGGGTAGGGGTAGGGTTAGGGTAATGTTGTGAATCGAGTGGCCTGTGTTCGTCGTCCATTACATACGCCTGCCCATACCATAACCCCACCACCACCACGGGCCACTCGATTCACAACATTACCCTAACCCTAACCCTAATCCTACCCCTACCCCTCACACCAGATACTGCCTGGTTTTCGGACCCCCCCAGACCCCCCCCCAATAAAGCAGAAATGCACATTTCAGAGTGGCCTTTTATTGTGGCCAGCCTAAGGAACACCTGTGCAATAATCAGCATCTTGATATGCCACACCTGTGAGGTGGGATGGATTATCTCGGCAAAGGAGAAGTGCTCACTATCACAGATTTTTTCAGATTTGTGAACAATATTTGAGAGAAATGGTTATTTTGTGTATATATTAAATGTTTTAGATCTTTGAGTTCATCTCATGAAAAATGGGAGCAAAAACAAAAGTGTATTTTTGTTCAGTGTAGTGTGCAAAATATATATATATATTTTTTTAATTTGTATTTGAGGCTAGGATTGAGGTTCTCTAAAGCAGTTTTGTAATATTCTATGAGATTATTACAGTGAAATGGAGGAAAACCTTGAACAGTACAGCCATTCCAGTATTCATTTTTGTATTGCCATATATGCATGTGATTTATGGAGATAGATTTCTGCTGACCGCCCTCTGCAA